TCAAGCTTACACCTAACTATCTCAGAATGAAATCGTCTCTCGATAGCATGCCTGAAATGACTGCTCACGTAGTATTTAAAAACTTGGCAGATCCCACATACCTGGGAATCCACGTTATGCGAACCGTGCAGAGGGAAGGTGACTGTGTTGCAACATTTTTATTGAGGCACACATCTTAAAATGATGCTCTATATATGTACAATACTGCATGCTGTACAAATGCTGCTGAAGATTTGCAAATGTTTATATAACCAGTTGTTTGCACTTGCGCAACGATGCCAACTGGAACATGCGTATTACCAATACCAAAACCTGATAAGAAGCGCTGATGCTCGCGAGGGTGCTGGCCCTGGACACTGCCACATAAATCAACTTCAGCACATGGCAACTAAAAACAATTGACTTTAAACCAACATGACGGCTGTATCAAACGAGTACATATGTAATGTTTATAAAATTGGGTAGGCAACCCTGCAACTACTATTGATGTTTCACGAAGATCAGCGCCTATTAGAAAAGTATTTCCGAGACTTGGCGTAGCTCTGTAGTGAAATGCTTCATTTTCACGCATAATGCTTCGGTTTGATTCTAGCTGGGACTCTGACAATAATTCCTTGCAATCATCGCGTCGACGCTACCATAGTCGAGTATTTCTTAACACTCGCACGCTAAAATAGCCCATGTGTGTTCTCGTCGCTCCTGGATATATACTAAGTGTAAATCACCTGTAGCACATACCCGCATACCAGTGGCGCATACCTGCCCGTGAGTATGTGCCACTGTCTGGCGGGAAGTGTTTGACGACATACGTGACGGCATTGTGACATTATTCATGTCTTTACCAGCGCGTCATATTCGTCAAACCATCTTCCACTACCATGATAATTTTCGTTCACGCCAAATTAAGAGTGTGATCACGAGAGCATTCATACGTAAACGGCTAGATAGATAGATAGATAGATAGATAGATAGATAGATAGATAGATAGATAGATAGATAGATAGATAGATAGATAGATAGATAGATAGATAGATAGATAGATAGATAGATAGATAGATGCTCCAAGTGCTTGCAGTACGCGAACAAGTGTTTCGTATTCACGTTTCTCGAAGCAACTTCCAGATCACATCTGACGCGCCAGTGCTTATGTCGTGCGGCCGACTAAAGACTATCCCCTTTCCTAAACAATCGCATCGAAGCACGTAGATAGGAGGCCATTTTTTTCCCCTCTTCTTTCCTTGTTTTATCAATATCGTTGTTATCCGTCATATTTTCTCCTAGATTAGAAGACTGCAATCAGAATTGTCCCGTCTACGTGTTATAAGTAGAATTGAACTCTTTACTTTCTTTTCAGCGAGAGCAAACAGCTATCTTAGAGCAAACAGCTGTAACCTTCTGTTCCTTCATACTCTTGCCCATTATAAATATTTTTTAAGTTTAATTTTTTGTTTCGCTTACGTGTGTGAGTGACAACTTTGTTATAACCAACCTTACTTACAAAAATGACACAGTTATCAAGCGTGCTTTTATTGGACTTCTTTGAAAAAGTCGCGGAGCTTTTGGTACGTGGATTTTCTAGAATCTAGCGCGAAAGGTATTTAAGCGAGCAGTGGAGCAGGGAGATAAGGAGAAAGTGTGTGTGTGTGTGTGTGTACGTGTGTGTGTGCATGTGTGTGTGTGTGTTTGTGCGTGTGTTTGTGTGTGTGTGTGTATATGTGTGTGCATGTATGTGTGTGTGTTTGTGTGTGTGTGTGTGCATGTGTGTGTATGTGCGCGCGCGTGTGCGTGTGTGCGTGTGTGTATGTGTGTGTGTGTGTGTGTGTGAAGTAAGTTTGTTTACGCGATAGCGTTAAAGATCCCGTTTCGCGGAAATGGTAACGTGGTTGACGGAATCAGCGTCGTCATATGTGTGTTGAAAATGATCATCTTGTTCATGACTGAAACTCGGGAAAGTTGCTATTTGCATAAATAAAAAATAATGATCCAAATAAGGTGCATTCAGTGGATTTTTTTATAAAGTCCTACCCCTTATAAAGTGCGAAAATATGTTTACTCATCATCAGCAACTGAACCACCAACAAAGTGAGCAACTGTGCAGGTTCCCATGTGGTTGGACGGAAACGCAGTTGGCCTATCGCTGATTCGCAAAAGAAATAGTTATAGCATCGTGGGCACCTAACGACTGTACTTCCAACACCACGCAATGACACTTCACAATGGCCACTGTTACACGCACAGACGCTCATGCAATGCTAAGTATCTTTAAATTTTTGCTGTTTCAATCCTATAGGTTGTTAGTAATTTTTTAATACTTTCGTTGTCTCTACGACTTTGTATTTTTATTATCCGATCTAAAACATATTCGAATTGTAAGTAATTTTACCGCTAAGCAAAGCTACTGTCTGTTTCATGGCCAGACGCTTTGTTCTCTCACCGCGGTGGTGAATTATGGTGGTGGAACCAACCCCACAACCTTACGGCATGGTTGACACATGCATCCATAACCGAAGCAGTTTAGCTGTTCAGAAGACGATGAGCACACTGAGCGATTAAGCTATTAATTCATTATTTTCACCTATTTATTCTCCTTAATTTCTGTGATTGACAAATATTACATTGTGAATGGCCTCCTGGGCTAAAACCTGTTGTCAAACGCTTTGACACTAGCCCAGAAGACCAGCTACATTGCAAAAAAAGTGACAGCTGAAAACAAAGAAATTGAAACACAAAAACAGTCAAAAATTTTATACATAAGTGAACATATAAAATACCCGTACGAAGCGTCATAGGCACATAGATTTTTAGAAGATTATTGAGCAACTTACAATAATTACTGAATGCTCAAAAGTTACTTGCTGGAAGGAAGTGGCAAGACCACAGTTTAAAAAAAAAAAGAACCGGTAGCGTAAATTACTCTCCCATTTTCAGCAGTAAACTACACAGAGCATCTTTACAATATAATAAATAAAGGTACTTTATTTTTTAAAGCTATATACAAACAGATATAGAATACAACTACGTAAAATAATTGAAAATCTGTAAACAATAGTAGTTGAGAAATATTTCACGTAAAGTAGTAAGTGCAGGTTTAATTGAACGTTCATGCTTATTTAGAATACATGGGGTGTTATATTTCAGTGAATGTAGTTTTTATCCAGTGCGAAAAGGCCGTATAAGCGAGTATTCTATATTACGTGTGTTGATAACATGATTCTGGCGCTGCAGAGCAGCACTTCACTGAATAAATTGTTTTGGTGCCGAATATTATAAGGAAAATGACCGTGGAATGCACAACTTGCGCATATATTAAATTTAATTCATACTATGTTTCCGAAAATGGGTCCAAGTCAGAGATAGGTAACCAGTGTTGGCAATGTGACAGATAGCTTTCTTTTGCAAAAGCAATACTTTGTTTATGTTACGTGGAGTGTATTTATTTTTTTTTTATTTTCTTAGATACTGCCGGCATTTCATGAAGTATTCAGGAAGGAGTTGGGCATAAATAAGTAACACAACACAAGCTCGGAAAAAGAACATAAAGAAGAAGTACATGAAGTAATAAACTGTGAAACAGTGACTTCAAAAATATGCAAAAACAACAAAAACAACCAGACTTTGTGGCAGTAAGCGCTCACAAAGCCCAAACGACCCATATTACAATAACCCACAAGCATACAGCCCATACAAACTCTGATCCCGTAGTAACTTAGCACAAAAAATGTTTCAGCATTCATTCGTAGTAAGCTAAACCAGACCGAAATAATTTAGATGTCATTGTAGCAGTGCTTGATGAATTTTCACTTTTCCATTTGTTGGGAGAACTTCTCGACAACGCGACAGAGCTGCTAAAAGCAAGTGTCTTGCATGAATGCTTTACTCGGGAATCCCAACCTTGATGAGATGAAAATACCACACCGAGAAATATATTTTCTTCGGTTATTTATTTTTTGGTCTGCACACATTATATCTTGTCTAAAGTAGTTCAAAAGCTTATTCTAGCTCTAAATAAGATACCTTCGTTTCTTTGGGCTTCTTTAAAGTTTATTAGATAATTAGCATAATGTGATATTACAAAACAGCGATTACAAATTTTTGCCAACATTTCTGTATCTGTATTGGGAAACAATACAGTGGCATCATCAGCATAAATTATAAATTTGGCTGACTTAGTGATAAATGCAGTATCATTAATAAAAATATTAAAAAAAGAGGTCACCATACGATTTCTCATTGGGCACTTCTATTAATATGCAATGAAGATGAATGATGTTTACAAAAACACACGCACTGTGATCGTTCTGATAAATAGGACTTCGTTAGAGCCACGAGAGTGCCCTGGACATCGTAAATTTCTAACTTATGGAACAGCGACCTAAGGTCAATGGAATCGAAATCCCTAGTGAAATCGACGAACGAGCTTTCTGTATAAAGCCTACTGTTGATGCGGTCTACAATTATTTTTTTAAGGCATAATAAAGCTGGCTGGGTAGATCTTTCTTCAGGAAACCAAACTGAGCATCACTTATATTGTTATTTCCGAGCTTCAGCGTCCGCCAATTTTGATTTTATTTATTTTATTTTAATTTGCATTGTGCTATCAAGCTTTCAAATTTGGCGGTGCTATGCAGCGGGTCGCGTCATAGCGTTTCACTTGATCCTTCAAGTAGGCCATACCGACGACCGATTTATTGTTAGCTTTCTGCATTGCAATACCCTCGAAGTTTCATGAAGGCAATCGGGTCACGCTCTCGTAATACCATGTGTATATATCAGCAGAATTGAGCATTCAATGAAGTTTGTTTCAAAAAAAGAGGTGTCAGTTTTTTTTAACTTTACTGCACCTTAGTTTCAATAAACCGATACCAACTCGGCTAAAAGTGCTTATTCTTGAGGGCAACCAGATGTTCAGTTAGGGCTGGTGTAGTGTTTTTTTGCCGGTCTCAAAAAGATGGCCTTAGTTCTAGTGCGTGTATTCAAAAACTCTCTTCCTACACGCACAGTGGCACCTGGGATCTTACACGGACAGCCTCACGCCACCTTGCCGCGGCTTCGACAGCTTCTATGGCCTCTACTACGGAGAATCGGACTATTACTCCCACACCATCTACTATGTACGTGAGCTGCGGCGGTTATTTGTTTTTTATTTGTTATTGCGCCAACGCAGCATGGTTTCTGTTTCATAGATATAACCTATACTAAAATCATGGGTTACGTAAGAAACAAGATGCGTGTGGTCCCTGCGCACTGTGTGGCTTTCTTGCCATATCTTAATAAGATCTTCAAGTACCGCATCTTGAAACGGGTGTCTGGACATTTGAGCAGTCAAGGAGAGATGCGCTAAGTTGCTGTAGCACATGAAGAAAGTAAAATATTGAATAAAATAAATAATTGCGGACAGTCACCTCCACAGCGGTGAAGAAGAAAATGCAACTTTTTGTTTGTTTCTTTTTCTTCTTCATACGTCACAATGTTCTGCAGAATACAGGATGCCTCATGCGCAATGTAGACTTGGAAGTATTTTAACACTCAATGAAATTCTTTATTTTTGTGCATGTGTAACAAGTAAGCACTTTTTCTTCCTTTTTTGTAGTAGTTTTCAGTGAAAGGGTCGCTCGCTTCATACTGTCTCAGCAGTTACATCTAGGCAATTTTGTCATACGACATGTTAAAAGGACACACCCGTTTCCGAAGGAAGAATACATAGGTGATTTCACTAAGATACTGTGCTTAGATCGGCAAATTGCGGCAACTGTATGGGCAGCCTTCCATTGTGTACTTATAAACAAGTAAAAAAAGTGACTTCAATCGAATCAGTTGCAAATGGTCGATGACACGCGTTCCATGCGGAAAGCAGCCATCTCGTTATATACCTTGGTGCAGCGAAATGTGAAACGCAACTTGACCTATTAAGCTCGACCTAAAATGCGCATGACACTTGTGTAGGAGATGTAGTTTTTGCGTGCAAAGAGCAAAGTTTCTTCAACGTGGCATTGTCCTAAATAACCAGCAGCATAGGAATAAAAAGAGATTTTCACCCAGTTAGAATAATAAGATTTTGTGAGCACCTTGTGACAAACGGCGGGAGGAGACGCCTGTGACCATTACATTAGCGATGAGCTAAACAACCACACGTAAGAACCTACAGCTCATGTTTTCCTCAATTCATCTGGCAAACATTTGGTGAATTCTCAAAGATTATAATGCCTGTTCTCACACCCAATTATTACAATACATACTTTACAACATTCAATGAAAGTCTTCACTTTATCAAACTTCACTTCTGAAAAATGCTGCTGAGAAATAATATTTCAGTCAGCCACAGTTTCAGAACTTGCAGTCATGATTTGCTTCATTTCTTTTTTACTCAGCAAAACCATTCAGGTCTGGACTTCTGGGAGAACAAGGAACCCGTGTGGTCAGAAAATGGGACCTACTCTACATCCCTTTTCACAAAGAGGGTGCAGTCAATCATCGAAAACAGGTCAAAGTCTAAGGTATGATGAGAGGCTTCCTATCAGCGTTATGATGCATGGCTGTTGCAATAGTGACGTGCGTGCATTTACCGCACAGGGCCATAAACAATGTAGCAGACTCAACATTTGACTACAAAGCAGTAAATGTCATGTTAGAAGGCTTTAACCGATCCTTACGAAGTTTATTGTTGGGCATTTAAAAAGAGACAACATTGTGGCAGTCACAGTTGAACGTGCGACAGACGTGGTTACTTATGAGCATATAAGGATCGTAAGCTTTGAATCAAGTGTGTTAAATATGTTGAACTCGCATTGATGTTGTATTTCAGTATTTTCTAATTCCTTCTAGTCGGGGCCAGGACGAATTGTTTGGCAACTAAGAAGCTTTTTTTTCCTGAGAAATCTGTGCGGACTTTCTTGTAGCTTCGCGCGACGAACAGGTAGTTGTCATAGTTCCCCTTTGCCTAACCACTACAATAGATCAGGCCCGCTTGAACCACTATTATGTTTAGTTCCAGTGGTATGATGGTGCCGAAAACCCCCTTGGATTTCTTTCTATAAAGATAAGCGCACGAAAGGCCACCTCTCTTCGGAGCCTGTTTCACATGCGAGTGATTTAGCCCCACGTGCGGAGCTGCAGCGGTCGTGCGAGCCCAAAACAGGTTCCCAGAGCGGTGAATAGACGCTGTGCTGAATATCACCAGAGCTGGAAAAATGCATGACTCGTTCGCTGGATTCCGTGCCGACCGGTTGTGCCCTCGCAATCTCCGACGACAGCGCAGCTCTGGCCGACTGGGCTGGTCCTACGCCACCTCCTGCCGCCGGTCCCCTACGACGACGTCAGCGCAGCTCTGGCCGAGTGGATTAGCCCTACGCCTTTTCTCTCGCCGGCAAGAGCTCTCGAAAGTGGTGCCTCGAACTCCTGTGACCGTGTTTCCATCTTTCCTATCTCTTATCTCTCATATTTCGTCACTCACTGTCCTAGCGCATCTCTCGTTCTCTGTATACCTTTAATCCTACCCTTTTATTCCCTCCTTACCCCCATTCCTTGTGAGCTACTGTTGAGGTGTCGCACCAGATGCAGACAGTTACGGGGCTCACTTTTCTCTTCTGTTCACTTTTGTAACGACAATGGAAAAATGCGCTCGCAGCAGAGAGTCAAGACTTGCTTGCTGTATTTCGTGCCGACCGGTTGTGCCCTCGCGATCTCCGATTACAGCGTAGCTCTGGCCGTCTGGGCTCGCCTACGCCATCACCTGACGCCGACAAGAGCTCTCACCGAGTGGTGCCCCGCCTCCGACTCCTACGCCCAACGTTTATAAAAACGTTGCCTCCGACCGCGTCCATCATTTCTTTATTCTCCTTACTTCCGTCGTTCGCTGTCCCTGCACCTCGCTCTATCCTTCCTCTTTCTCTATCTACTTTTTAATCTATCCCTTTGGTCCCTCCTTTACCCCCACCTCTCGTGGGCAACTGTGGAGGTGTCCTCCCACTAAAAGACAGTTACGGGGCCCACTTTTCTCTTCTTTTCATTTATCATCACTTAGCCTCTCCCCCTCCCCCTCCAGAGCGTCCACAGATGTGGATAGCACGTGACGCCAGGGGTGGAGTCGAGGAGTGGACGCGTGCGCTGGGAGTAACGCGCTCCACAGAACTCGCTCCGACTCAGTAGCAGACGGCATCCGTCTACTCCCCGGCCAAAAATGTCTCGCGCTACCTGCAACAAGATGCCCTTTGCAGAAGTTGTGAAACGTCCTCTTCTTTGGGACGTCAACATGAAGGATCTCCGCAACAATCACAAGAAAAGGATTCTTTGCGGAGAAGTATATGACCACCTTGAAGAAGTAGCATACTTCAATAAAGTAAAAGTCCTTGTCGCTTGAACTGGCAATGCTCACTGGTGAAGTTGAAGTGCCACTCTTTTCCTGTCATTGCTCACGACGAAACTTCCGTCGAAGTGACTATCCTGTGCATGTGCTTTTTAGATTTTTTTTTGTTTTCATTGAATTGTAACTCCCACGTAGAGGAGCCGCATGGGACGCCGTACTTCTCGGTCTCAGCAAATGTTGCAGGTTTAACAAAAGTCGCAATTTGGGGACATATTGCATAGCTGACAGAGTTGACACGATCGAGAGAGCAAGCACGGGCGGTACGTGCGTGGACTTGATAAGTATCATTCCAGGCATATCACTGAAAAAAGAATTTCGTGATGTGACACAACAAGGCGGGGGCGCGAAGCGTGCTGTCACAATTCGGGGAAATAAAGCATTCAACAGGGGCCATAATTTTGTTCAACCTTTCAACAACACATCAGACTCTCATTAAAACCCAGGCTCACTATTCCACGTCCTCTACAGCGCTTTTAGCGCTAGGAATAGTTGTGCTGCACAGCGCTCAAGTTTGCAGGCTGTCATCAGGTACTGCCACACTGGACAGCTGCTTTCAGTAACACTCAGTGCGGGAATGCGCGGATGGCTGAGAAAAGGCAGATATTCAGTCGCGAGCTCAACAAACACTGCGAAGATAACAGAGAGCAGCAGTTGAATTCAGGCACCAGTGCAGCAACACATGCCTAGAGGCATGTACCTATAGTACACTGTCAGAGGCTACCAATTGAATGGCACTGTGTTCCAACGGCAAAGTTGTATTGTGTAAAATAATGTGATACTTGTGCTTTCCTGTTCACCATCGCAGCAGCTATGGACGCGAAATTCCGCTATAGTAGGAATTTTTGCGTAGTGCCTGACCTGGGCCGCACACAAGTGCAGCCCACGTCAGGTTTGGTAAAGCAGCCAAAGAACCGGGACAATGAGCGTATCACGTATACTATGTTGCCTGCTGTTGGCGAACCTCTGCTTGAGGTGGTTTACTTAATTAATCAAAAATTTAAAAGGCTTACTATTTAGGGCAGAATCATACGAATTCAAGCGCCAGAACAGATGTAGACCATACAGAAAATTCCGATGAAGAGTGTGCTCGCACATGCCACAGTATGTCCACGAACACGGCCAAAGCTTACCACTGAGGCTTTTTATATGAACATTTATTGTTACTCGAGTGAAGAGGTGAAAAAAATTTAGATCTGAAGTTTGCGAGGTGTATAACTGGGGGGCTGACAGAAACCACGTTCCCGGTATCAAAGTTTGATCGCTGAAAGCAAGAGAATTGAATCAGAGAAACATGGGAAGGGCTGCGAACAACATGGTCACAGTTCTTAAGCCTTCACTCAGTTGTAACAACTGTCTAAAAAACCATACCAGCAAACTCTTTCTTTTTTTGCTTCTCCATGGCCAATTGTTTGAGCGCACAACAAGAACTAAGCGTCCAATAGCCACAAGTAAACTCAAAGCGACTGCAAACGCCGTTTATTTGGCATAAGATTCACTTCGCACTTAGCTCAATAAGCGCACAGACACGTCCAAGTCGAGTGGATATTGGTGATGAAACTAGCAAAATAAGGGTGCCAAAGGAAGGATAGTTGGACCAAAGCATGGCATTGGAAGCCACTGAAAATAGCGGTTAACCAGCGGCTTCCACGGGCTACTACACTGCTTGCCAAAGTGGCAGGCGTCGCGCAAAAGCAGCGGAAGCAGCGGCGCATGTGTATCGAACGCTCGCCCGTGCGTCCTGCTGCCGCTCATCGGAGCTGCCACTACCACTCAGTCGCTCACATGTGGAAGAGGCTTATTAGTTCGGTGCCACCTCAAGAATAGTAAGCAATGTTGGCTATCCGGTGGCACTCTCGTATGCTACGGCTACCCCTTGACAAAAAGGTTTGTATGGCAGTCCACAAGCACGTAATATATATATATATATATATATATATATATATATATATATATATATATATATATATATAGAATGTCTTTCTTGGTATGATTGTAGGTGCTCAAGGGAAGTGGATGAGGGAACGTAAAATGAAGCTTCATCGAACTACATCAAATGATATGTTAACAGCAAAACGATTGTTCACCGTGAGTGACACTATGTGCGTGCCAGTGTATGAGCTGAAAACATGTAGGAATAAACCGTGCACCTTCCAGCTTTAAGGCCTCGTTCAATCATGTCGGCCATACGCTAACATTGTTTAACACGAACGCAACCATTCTCTAGTGAAACACTGTTTCTTTTAAATCCGAATGCATTTATTAGTCGGGCTATGTCAGGTGTCCGTCGGGATCCGTCCACCACCCTCTCTCATGGCAACAGCTGTCGACACACACGTCCTTTGCAACCAGAGTCCCCATCATGTCAGGCTTCCGCGTCGGCAGCAGCGGCGGGCTCACTATTATCCTCGCCGCTAGCAACCGCAGCCCTGCCTCCTTGACTTGAGCGTGACTTGCCACTGCCTCAATGCAGTGCGTTTTTCATCTATTCCTGGGTTCTCACGTGCGAAACGCCGTTATGGACGCTACGCAATGCATTCGCATGTAGCGCCCTCGTTCGGGCGGCGCGCAAACCGGAGAGCGCGCGATGGCGAGAGAAGAAAATAAAGAAGGCGCTAGGCCGTGGCACGTGAAGCCGCAGCTCGCGTTCCTGGCTGGCATCGGTTATCGTTCAGGCGTGTCTTTCTTTCGCTCCTGTGGCATAAGCCTACAAGTGGTGACCTCGGACGAAGACAATGACTGACTCGAATGCACCCTCAACCGAACAAGCCTCACGTCCGCAGGACGTCTCGGCCGTGCAACTGCGTCTCCCATCTTTCTGGCCACAGGACCCGCAAGTTTGGTTTCATCAGGTCGAGGCGCAATTCTCCCTGTACCGCATCGCCTCGGAAACGACACGCTACTACCACGTAGCCTCCGTCCTTCCTCCTGACGTTGCCAGCGAGCTCTCCGACGTCCTCTCCAACCCCTCGGACACTACGCCATATCAGCACCTTAAAACCAAGGTGCTGGAACGATTCATGCCTTCGGAACGCGTCCACCTACAGCAGCTCCTTGCAGAGGGGGACCTTGGCGACAGGCGCCCCTCCCAACTACTGCGCCGAATGCGACAACTTCTTGGGAAACACGACGTCTCTGCCCACTCAGCGTTGCTTCGCGAGCTCTTCCTCCAACGCCTTTCTCAGCCAATCCGCCTCGTCCTCGCGGCGGCCGGCGACGTCAATCTCGACCGCCTGGCGGAGCTCGCCGATCAGGTTCATGAAGCGACCTCCCCATCTGTCAACGCTGTCTTACCACCAGCAGACACAGCAATTTCGCGCCTTGAGGCCCGCCTTGACGAACTCGCCGCCTCCATTGCCGCACTCCGGAGCCCCCTGCAGGAGACTCGTTCGCCTCGTTCCGGTCGTCGAGCTCTTCCACGCACACGAGATGCTCGGAGTCCCAGCCCTCCACCCCTCTGCTGGTACCATCGGCGTTTCCGACACCGAGCCACGAAGTGTACACCCCCATGTTCGTGGCAGGGAAACGCCTGCCGAGATCACTGACGGCGGCGTGTGATCAACCTTCTCGTCCCAGCTGCCTTTTCATGGTCACGGACCAGCTATCGGGCGCCAGGTTCCTTATAGATACGGGCGCGGAAATTAGCGTTGTGCTCCCGACTAAGGCTGATCGTTCAAAGTCACAGGGGCAAGTGCTTCGTGCTGCCAACGCCTCGTCTATACCAACGTATGGGCTCCGATCTCTCACCCTCGACTTCGGCCTTCGCTGCATTTTCCGGTGGGTTTTCGTCATCGCAGACGTGGTTCAACCGATCATCGGCTCGGACTTCCTCTCATACTTCGATTTGGACGTCAGCGTGCGGCGGCGCCGCCTCATAGATGGTAAGACTCGTCTCTCCATCTCGGGAGTCCTGTCCGACATCGCTCCAATGGCCATCCGCATGCTGATACCTTCCTCACCGTTCGAAAAAATCTTGGCGAGTTTCTCGGAGTTAACTAAACCGTGCAACCTCACTCAGCCGCCTAAACATACGGTGACACACCACATCGTCACCCGGGGTCCACCGGCAGCCGCTCGACCACGCCGCCTGTGCGGAGACCGCCTAGCTATTGCTAAACGGGAGTTTGACCACATGCTGCAGCTCGGCATTATCCGCCCGTCCTCAAGCGCTTGGGCTTCCCCGCTGCATTTGGTGCCAAAGCGTGATCCTGGTGACTGGCGTCCTTGTGGGGACTATCGAGCGTTAAACGCCAAGACAGTCCACGACAGATATCCTCCACCTCACATCCAGGATTTTACATCGCGCCTCGACGGCTGCACAATTTTCAGCAAAGTGGACCTTGTTAAGGCGTATCACCAGATTCCTGTCGAGCCCGCCGACATACCTAAGACCGCCATAACGACGCCCTTTGGGTTGTTTGAATACGTGCGGATGCCTTTTGGACTCCGCAATTCGGCTCAAACTTTCCAGCGGTTCATTTCTGAGGTCACACGGGGTCTTCCTACTGTGTTTGCGTACCTTGACGATGTCCTCATCGCCAGCCGCACACCTGAAGATCATGAGCACCATCTACGCGCTCTGTTCCAACGTCTTCAGCAGTACGGCCTCGTTGTGAACGCCTCTAAGTGTACTTTCGGTGCATCTGAGCTCGAGTTCTTGGGCCATCACATATCATCCAAAGGAATACGCCCTCTCCGGTCCCACGTTAAAGCAATTCAGGATTATCCTCAGCCTACAACACTGCGCCAATTACGCCAATTCCTGGGGCTTGTGAATTTTTCCAGGCGCTTCATACCACATTGTGCCGAACTGCTACGACCGCTCACCGACCTCCTTCGGTCGACCGCCGGCCCGTTCTCCGCCATTCCTTGGTTGTCAGAGGCCCAGGCCGCCTTTGCTGCTGCTAAGCAAGCGGTCGCTAACGCCGTGCTTCTTATTCATCCACGCAGCAACGCCCCTACTCGGTTGATGGTGGACGCATCCAGCGTGGCCGTCGGAGCCGTCTTACAGCAGTGCATTAACTCCGAGTGGAGACCCTTGTCGTTTTACTCTCGGAAGCTACTTTCTGCTGAGACCCGCTACAGCGTCTTTGGCCGGGATATACTAGCCATCTACGCTGCAATACAGCACTTTCGGCATTTCCTGGAAGGATGCTCATTTTACGTGCTGACTGACCATAAGCCACTGGCGTATGTTTTCCGCACTAACTCATCCAAGTACGTGCCCCGTGAACTCCGCCATCTGGCTTATATATCAGAGTTCACGACTGACATCCGCCACGTGAAAGGAGCTGACAACACCGCCGCAGATGCCCTTTCTCGTATAGCCGCGGTTGACTCTCCACCGCCAACCATCGACTGGGCCTCATTCTCCTCGGCACAGCAGGATGATAGAGAGCTTGCCGCTTTTCGGGAGAACCCCCGTTCTCTCCGACTACGCCTGGTGCCTCATCCATTATCATCTGAGCGCTTGTGGTGCGATGTCTCAGCTGACCTTCCCCGCCCTTTCGTTCCCGCTTCATTACGACGCACCGTTTTCCACTCCTTACACGACATCTGTCACCCTGGCATTCGGGCTACTCAGCGTCTTCTCACCCAGCGCTATGTCTGGCCCGGAATCAACGGTGATGTGTGCGCTTGGACGCGCATGTGCCTGCCCTGCCAGATGACAAAGGTCTCCCGTCATACTAAGACGCCGCCCCAACCTTTCCTTCCACCCGGCCGTCGTTTCGACCATGTTCATCTAGACATTGTGGACCCTCTACCAGTGTCTCAGGGGTACCGTTATATATTGACCATGGTCGATCGCTTCACACGCTGGCCAGAGGCTGTTCCAATTCAAGATATCACAGCCGAGACAGTTGCCCGCGTTTTCATTTCTACGTGGGTATCCCGTTTTGGCTGTCCTGGCACCGTGACAACAGACCGTGGACGTCAGTTTGAGTCCTCGCTGTTTACTTGCCTTAATCGCATCCTCGGAGCCAGACATTGCCGTACCACGGCTTATCATCCCTGCGCCAATGGCATGGTGGAACGCCTTCACCGACAACTGAAGACTGCCTTGACTACCCGCCTCAATAGAGCCACCTGGGTTGATGCCTTGCCACTGGTGCTCTTAGGTTTACGAGCTGTCATCCGGGCAGACCTGCAGTGCTCAACAGCAGAGCTGGTGTATGGCACTTCTCTACGGCTTCCGGGAGACTTCTTCACGTCAACGAAGCTACCAGACCAGCCACAGCAATTCCTACAACGCCTCCTCGACTGCGTTCAAGACCTCCGGCCCACTCCACCCAGACCTTCCGAACACAAGACCATATTCGTCCACCCTGATCTGGCCACTGCAACACATGCTTTCGTGCGCCACGACGCGGTCAGACCACCTTTGACACCAGCCTATGACGGACCATTCCGCGTCCTTCACCGCACCCCCAAAACTGCCACTCTACTTCAGAACGGCCGTGAAGAGACAGTCAGCTTGGACCGACTCAAGCCGGCGTACCTGGAGACCGCCCTAGAAAGCCACTCATCTACGACTGATCTTCCGTTGGAACACCACAAACGGCATGTCACATTCCGACTTCCAGTCTACACGGGGGGCCCTGTAGCGCCCTCGTTCGGGCGGCGCGCAAACCGGAGAGCGCGCGATGGCGAGAGAAGAAAATAAAGAAGGCGCTAGGCCGTGGCACGTAAGCCGCGGCTCGCGTTCCTGGCTGGCATCGGTTATCGTTCAGGCGTGTCTTTTTTTCGCTCCTGTGGCATAAGCCTACACGCATTTCCTCACAATCTGTTAGGGGTGGTAGGGGCATTTTTCTTCCTTAATGTCGTCTATTTGTTAACGCGTTCACTGTCATGAGGAACTCGACCAGTGAAATCACTAATTGGCAGACCTTTTATGTAGCAACGTTGTCTGAAATGACCATATTGATTGACGGGAGTTTTGTATGAAGTCCGGAACAGTAGGACCTAACAGTCCATGTAGATGTTTTTGAACTTAACTTCTCAAAACTAACCTTACTGCGGTCAATGCTGAGCTTACACGATTTTGCACGCCGGCCGCACGTGTATTTTCTCTTCACAGCCGTTGCTGCTTCTGGTGTCCCACATGGCTGCTCACTCGGCGTTGGAGACAGAGCCACTACAGGCCCCACAAGAAAACATCGCCAAGTTTCCCTACATAGGAGAGAAGAACAGAACGATATATGCTGGTGAGAGCGAATTATTTTATCTGCACGTGCGCGTTCCTTGGGTGTTTCAATATTTTCGCTCATAACATGGCGCGTGAAGGAGGACTGCTTGTATTATAATATATTAGTTTTAGTTTGCATAAGATGTCCGTTGCTATGACCAGCATTCAGAGAAGAGTTTTTTTCCCTCACTAAAAACGTTATCCAGGCTTTCCTGCGGCGCAAACCTTATCAAATCGAACGTAATGTTCATCGAGAGGATAGCATAGAGCGTGCCGCACAGAGGTCGGACAAAAAAAGTGCTTTAAACACCAAAACTACTTCATTGAGGCAACATGACTGTGACATGGTATGTAAACTTGTTCAAGCGACAGCGTGCGTTTGTGAACAGTATGTTAAAATTTCGCCGTATTTAGGTGTTTAATTTCTGCCTTTTTAAGTACTTCAGTCTTTTCTGGCAGGCTTCTCGAATCTTTGGCCAGAGCTTTGTGCTGATTACGGGAAAAGTGACAGGCTCTCGTCCATTTCTATTCTTGGCAACCTTTCCACTGGACAGTCGGCAAACACTTTTTCGTTTATGTTTGATCGCGAAAAGACCAGATGAATAGTAAATATATTCTTTATAGAATAATACTAAGCTCATATAGGACACTTCATGCTTAGGAGAATAGTTTTTTTTGGTTGTTGTAAATTCTCCACTAACATAGAAAATGATTTGTCGATTTGGTGCTCATATTCAGCAACTCGTCTAACGATTGCCTAAATACGTCGAAACCAAGTATTTAACATACAGGTATATAAAGCACATCTAAATACAAAAAGGCGTAGTGATGGAGGAACCGTAAAAATATATTTGAAGTAAAAATGAGCATTTCGCCCATTACCAAACGTAAAAAAAACAAAAGTTCAAAAGCAAAATTTCGTAGGGCACGTTGGTGGCAAGTTGGTTGCTGTTCATTATTTATATTATTTATATGGTGCCCCCCCCCCCCCCGGTGACTAAGGTACTCGGCTGCTAACCCGCAGGCCGCTGGATCGTATCATGACTGTGGCAGCTGCATTTTCAACGGAGGCGAAATGCTGTTGGCCCGTGTGCTTAGATTTGGGTGCGCGTTAAAGAAGCCCAGGTGGTCGTCATTTCCGGAGCCCTGCACTACGGTGTCTCTCATAATTATGTTTAGGGTCCCCTTTTTTGATAAAAAATTTATCAAAAATTAGGGTATCTTAAACCTTCGCTTTTAGGAGTTGAGCGAGACAGCGACATCCTGTTCCTAGTGCGTATTTCAAACATTTAGTGAATGGAACCTTTTCGAAGTTGCTATGCATTTAGTATATGTGGCTTTTAGGGAATAAGCGCAGTAACGTGTGTGCCTTTTGTGGTGGCTTTTATCCACGGAGCCGTTATGAAAATCACATATTCTGTCGCCCATTGGCCATGACGCTTGCACGACGCGTTATTACTGCAATACTTCATGTTGCATTGTGCGGCATGTATACAGGATGCGTATGCTGGCGAAGCATGAAAGATCCTTTCACTGCATTATTAACTAGAGGAAGTTCTTTTCACTGTTTCCACAAGCAGAGGCGTGGCCGTGTGGTAGAACATCCGCTTGCAACGCAAACGAATGTTGTTCGATTCCCACTCGTACCCGAATTACCATCTCTGGTTCGGTCACCACTCCGCCCCAGGATTTTTTCATCACTCTCGATTTTTCGCTCATCCATAAGATGCTAATTTCTTTGCTCACCACCGACGACGCCGACATCGGAATTTCGGCCAATTGAGCTCTTTAACGCTATCGCGTCAGTAGTTCATAAGGCGTAGCTTATCACGACCGTTACCGAGAAATCTCACACACAAACACAGCGGTAAATTGCAACTAATGGTTTTTGTGTGAAGTCACACATGTTATTTCGAAAATAACCGGTCAAATTAAACCGAAAACGCCATGCAGGGATACAGCTCAGAGTATGCATGTGACCTGCATGCATCACGACACCCTGAATCTGCAAACGTCAGAGCAATGATTCCAGATCATCTTTATCAGACCACACTAAGGGGATAGAACCCCCACCCACGCGCACATATATGCATAAATACACATTTTTCTTTCATTTTATCAATATCACGGGTTTCAATTATTTCGCACGTAGTTCTGCCGCGGGCTCTATTGAAACTGCAGGTGTTTTTAAACATCGGGGCGCAACTACATCTCTGAGAGTTAATTGCCGAATGAAAAGATAGAGCTTATTATACATTTCACTGGTGTTCCCTAAGTTTTTCATTCACACATGTTCTCGTTTGGCCTATGTAAACACGTTCACGCTTGAAAAGAATATAATGCACCATGCTTTCACTGCAATTGACACATTTTATCTGATGCTTGACCACACAATCCCGCTTCCCGCTATTTTCGGCATTAAACGTTTTTCCCATTCCTTGTAATAGTAAGAGCTCTTTGCAATAAGCAGTATCGAGAACCATTGGTTTGACGTTGATGAAAGCAGATTGTTATTATAAGGGATGACATCTGTATGCTCTGTACTATATCTGTACATATTGTTCTCTCAGTTTTATCGATGTAATGTCACTGTATAAATAGCATGAGTAATCGTAAATAAAACAAATAGTTGAAAGTTAGCGTGTAATTGTGTGTTCCTCTTCTTTTTCGCTGTCGTGATGCACTGCATCATATAAATAAGTTCAATAGCTTCAAATAAATGAGCGAGTGATGACAAGTATCTTATAGAAAAATGGGGTATGTGTCAAGGGATTGGCAAGAAACGCGTTGTCAATAATTCAAGGCTCTAAATCAATAGTATATAAGGTGACCTACTGTGCCGCATCAGGTGAAATTTACGGCCACATGATTTTGAAAAGATTTTATCAGAACTCTGCAGCACGTTTGCTTGATGTTATCCGTGATGAATTCGAAACATAAACATTAACACACTAGCTTTATACATAACTCTTTAGAGTTAATTTTGCTAAAGAAAATGAATCGCTTCTTCAAAAAAAGGCCGATATAGCAAACGTAACAGGCCAATCATAAAAATTACTCACGCGCGATAACCTTTGGTAACCGGGTTTAGGTTTCAGCCATCAGTATCTTTCATCAACCGCAGGCATGGTGGATGCATTGGATCAGTCGGTCGGCCAAGTGTTCAAGGCATTAAGCGACGCAGGGATGCTGGAAAACTCCGTCATCGTCTTCAGCAGCGACAACGGCGGTGCTATGTGGGGCCATGGGCGCTCTCGCGGTTTCAATTGGCCGTTGCGGGGTGCCAAAGGACGCGTCTGGGAAGGTGGCACTAAGGTGGCCGCTTTCGTCTGGAGTCCGCTGTTTGCTCGGAGACGCCAGCAATACAATGGACTAATGCAAATCACTGACTGGTTGCCCACGTTCTACTCGATCGCAGGTTGGTGGAACATGTATAAAATCTTTCTCATTTCAGTGGGCCAGTAGCCGAACATCTCACTTGTACAGAGTCCATCGCTGTCTCAAAAAAGTTATAGATTTATAGTTGCGCTGTACAAGTTAGTGAATTGTATGACTGGCAGTTAGCAACTCAGATCTTCCAATGTGGACTTGACTGTGTACCATCAAAACAACTGTAATGTGGCCCGAAAGGACAACGCCACGGAAAAATGCCCCTGGAAGCTTCACGCAGTGGTACTAGCAAGCGTTTGTTTTCACAACAGCGCCACTTAGTAGCACGAAAGCCAGGCGTACAATTAACCAGGTTGATACACTAAAATGCATGCGCGATAAAAATATCCTGAACAACTTTATAGCCGAAGACAAGAACAACGTAACAAAAGTCATACCTTATAAAGCAAAGTCCACTACATCGGTGATGATACTATTGATGGCTTTCTGATAATTATTCGGCCTCAACCTTGAAACTAATTTTTTATTTATTTTATTTGTGCATACTGCATCCCATCACGGGCTATGGCAGGAGTGGTGATAAGATCTCATGTCAAGCACAGACAAACAAGCGGTCATTGGCAAAGCACGAAAAACAAAAGCAAAGCATTCCAACACTCAATTCTTGTAGGAAATTAGCTATATTTGCACAAATCAGTTCTGGATTTTAACGGCAAAAGATTAAGACTATGTGAGCAACGAGTGCATGAAGGCTGGTTCAAGAGTGGAGAACGTGGGGACTCAATCAAGGCATGCATGAACTTTAAGCTTCCTTGTGGCGACGCGACGTGTTGCCAGAGTGGACAGACTTAGATTAGAGAGTTCGGAAGAGGATGAAAAGTGACTATCGTAGTGACGGTAGATAAAATGAATAGATTTTTTTAAAGACTGAATCCTGTTAATGTCGTTTTTATGCAATAGATTCCGAGTAAGAGATGCATATTGTAGAACTGGACAAATTAGTGTTTTGAGCGTGAGCAGTCTGGTTTCTTGAGGATCTACTCTAAGGATGCGCTGTAGAAAGCCAAGTTTCTATAATGATTTATTACATAAGGTATGTTTGCTCCAGGAAAGATTGTCAGCAACTAGAAGCCTTAGATACTTGTACTCGGGTATTTTGAGTAAAGAAGAATTATCGAAAGAGTACGTAAAAACTGAGAGAGCTAAGCACCTAGATAACGCCTAGTGAATCACCTTGTCATAGTGAATCTCTTCTGTATAACATCTATGACAATGTTAATAAACAAAGGTGCATAACCAAGTGTAGAGTGCGAGAAGTTAATGCTGTAACTGTTGTTATTTTCTTTTTTATTCTTTTTTATCTTTCCGTCTACCAACCACTGGCTTGCACATTTGTGCACGTGCTGGTTTTGTCTTTAGCAAGTTACGGATATACTGTACGCAAGTACGGCCGTTTTGCGTTTTCCGGTGTAGGCGCCCAGACACCATAAATGCTTTTTTAAGTGACTGTGAAGTTCTCACGCTTCATTGTTGCCTAACAGCCTAGCATTTGTTAGCTGGGAAACTGTAGTTCGGAGGAGGGATGGTGTTGTTAATGGAATAGGGAGTGACATCAGCGCAACGAGGAGAAAAGGAGAGCGCTACCATACTGTCCTACCATATTTGCTAACCGCATCTCCGTAACTTGCTAAAATCTCCGGTGTTTAGCCCATCAGAGCAGAATGCCGTTAATTACAAATGCATTACATAAAAATATTTTGGGCTTTTCAGTGCACTCAAGCTCTTGGGTTCTCAAAGGCTGCACCGTGACACAGACCCTCTCGACATTATTGGATACCACCATCTTCTTGAGATTATGTTAGAGTTGGTGAATATAAGCATTGTGGCCGCCCTTTTTGTTTCTGTCGTTAAGCGGGAATAAGCATCGGGCTTCCACAAATTCTCTTCCACAACAGGCCCTGAAACACGGTACTGCTAATCTGCTTTCTTCAAGCGTGAAATCTGACTATAGAGGCTATGTTTCGTTAAATAAACACACAAGTTTTATAATACGTCGCTGAGAAAAGTCATCGCAGTGTTTCGCTTAGTTCATTTTGTAGACTCAGAGCCAAGCTTTTCACTCTTTTGGACCACAATGTCCATACCTCAGTATTCGGTCAGTGTATGCGAGTCTTAACCTTAAACATGAGTTGTAGCCCTCAGAACTTTGTGCTTGATTTATTGTCTGTTGTGGGAAGAAACATCTGACAATCGTGAGTTTTTGTTCAAATAGTTCATGGTTCATAGCCGCGTAACGATATAAATTAAAAGCATGGGTGTAATGGTTTGGCTTCACCTTCCCTGCTTCCCTCCTTCTCTGTCTGTGTTCACTACTTCTTGATACTTCGCTTCTTTCTTTCTTTCTTTCTTTTCCTCTCTGTTTTCTTTCCTTCTTTCTTTCTTTCTTTTTTTTCCTACCCACTTTCTCATTGCTAAAGACGCTGAGCCGTGCCATCATTATGGGAGGCAGAAATGGAGTCCTTTTCTATTCTTCGTATTTCTTTTGTGAATCCCCCCTCTCTCTCTATTTCCCTTTAGGTGTGCCCTCTGAAATCATTGTAAAGTGAGTACGGCTTGTCCACTGAGTGAATCGTTTATTGGGCATGATTCGGTCACTTGCATGTGTACGAGCGATAGTGCTGCACGTGCTTCATCGTGGCCACCGCGTGACAATATTGTTTCTGCAGTACAAGTGACTCTTCATTTGCATACCTGTGTGATTTTCTTTGAACAGCAACTTTAAGGGATTGACTACTTCATAAAGCTTACTCTTTCTTAGCGCAGCTATAGAGTAAGTTTCTCGCCAGGGGATGGAATGAAAACGGAACGTGAGGAAGTAACACCGGCGGTGTACAACGAACTTCTGTTACAGATATGGACCATCCATTGGCATTCGAAGTAGCAGAAATATCAGCATACTTAGAAGGATTAGGTGAACTAGCGGCAGAAGTTGGCAGAACTTCTGGAGCTGTCTAGCTGTCAGACTCACTCGTTAAACATATTTTGCACTTTGCACTCACTCGGACTCTCACTCACCAAAATATTCCCGAGACGGATTCACCCGGCCGCACCCTCACGAAACTTTTCTTTAACCAAGCTCACTCGGACTCAAACTCACCTAAACCTTATTCATCTGCACTCACTCAGACTCAGAGTCACGGCTTGGTCTGCGTGTGAGTGAGTCCGAGTTGTCGGCTCACGAGTCCATTCGTCTTGAACCAACTTTTTATAATTGGTGTCTGTCCTTTTTAACACCAATATTTCGTGTAACTGGAGCTCTTCTTGGCGCCAATCGATGTAGAACTTTCAAGTAAGAGTGAGATGAGTAAGGTCCTTTTTCTTGCATGAGGTGACAACATCAGATATATTTACCGAGAAATTCCCCGGAAGAGCTGGTGAGCGGGAAATCAAGACATCGCTCTATTTAATTCATGCCTCTAATCAATAAATAATAAAATGGTGTTTGAATGGCACTGCTTTAGAACATGTGGGAGTAGCCGTGAGTCCAGGTAAGTCTGATGCAGAAGAGTATATAGAAAGGACCATACGTAGGCAAAATAAAATAGAAGTGACTTAGGCTCACTCAATAAATATACAGGGCATTTCAAGAAATGCGCCTAATATTCCTTAAATATTACAGCAAAGAGGTATTTGAGTGCTACTTGTGGCGTCGGCTTTCCTGTGGCAGCTGCATCTTCAGATGTGTACAAACATTAATTACGGCAGTAAATATTCAAATTAACACAATAAGCTCTTTCAGAAGTGGTGACACCTAGTAGTGTGAAATGGGTGAATTCAAGCCCTTCCTACGAATAGCCAATAGCCACTTTGAAATTCTGAAAAAGCAGCCACACGTTATCATCGCAGAGCGATGCAATCTGGCCAACTTAGCTGGCGAAACCAAAAAAGACACGCCAAACAGCGCATCTACCATTCACTTCGACAACACCCTCAATGTCGACACTGCTTCCGTCGCATTTAGAGGGCGAAAATAAGCGAGTGTCGGTAAAAGGCCTCGAAGCGATGTGTCAAAATTTAGGGTTGATAACGGCTAGGAACGCAGTGTCGTCACCAAGGGCGTTGTCGAAGTGAATGGTAGATGCCCTGTTTGGTGCGTCGGTTTCAGTTTCTCCAGCTAAATTAGGCTCATTGCATCGCTCCGCGGTGATTACCAGCGGCCGCTTTTTCAAAATTTTAAAGTGGCGATGGACTATTTGTAAAATGAGCTTGGATTCGCCCATTTGACTAGACCAGCTGTCACCGCTGGTTAACAAGTTTATTGTGTTAGCTCTATAATTACTTCCTGCAATTAATGTTTGTACGCATCTGAAGAGAACTTCTACCCCACGAAAGCGACGCCACAAGTAGCAGGTAGAGGCCTCCTATCTGTGATTTTTGCTTGCGCTTTGCCATTCGTGCCTGTTCTTGCGCCCGGAATGCTGCATCAGCCCGCCGACCATGAATTCTTACACGGATCAGTGGTAAACGCTATTATTAAAAAAGTTGGTTACTGTTTGGGCGTTCGTACCATCACGCACCCTGCCTATGCTGAAATTGCCTGCAACGTCGAAATCTGCACGCGCCCGCGAACTCACCACTTGATGTGTTTACATTCCTCTTGTGTCTGTTAGCCTGCTTGACAGCTTAGCTTGGCTGACAGGCGACGCGCGCGCATGTGGTCAAGGTGGGGATGAATCACCTCGTGTCCCATCAAGTCTCTTTTTCTTCTCTCCGACATTTCTTTCTTTCCCACTCCCCATCTCTGCGCAATGCTGTTGAGGTGACCTCCACTGAGAGACGGCGCTGCACTTTTCTTCATTCTTTGCTCTTTCGAAATCGAACGTTTGAAACTGGGGCACGCCGGCTCGGTGGCATGGCTGCAAGCGAATGAGCGACGTTGCTGACAGCGTTCTCAATGGCGCGCGTACTCAGGTGCGATGTAGAGAGTAACGTAACTGACGTAGCAGCTAATGGAGACATTTAGCAATTCTCACAGTGAACGCTTTTTTGTTTCGCTTAGCCATACACAGTTCACGATGCAAAATTTCAGTGGGGGCTGAACACACAAGAATGCAGGGAAGGTATTCAGTGGCTGTTTGGTTTCAGTCATAACAACGGTAACTCTGTGTTCAATACACCCAGTATCCTCTCTCGATTTCAGGAGGTGACGCTGCGCAGATGGCCGACTTGGACGGATTTGACATGTGGCGGTCTTTGTCCTACGGCCTACCTTCACCTCGTGTTGAGATGCTCTACAACTACGACTACACGTTCACTAACTGCGCGGCACTGCGGAACTCCCGGTATAAATTAGTGCTCGATGGCAGCGGTGAACTCGCCGATCGCTACAACGTACCGGGAGGAAGTCGTCCGAGCCACGACCTGGACTCATTGGTCGCCCAGTCAATGGTAGCCAGTGTTCTCAGGGACTTTTACAAAACAAAGAATCTGCACTTTCCCAAAAGTTGGAGACAAAAGGCGACCATCAAGTGCGGCCACAAAGAGGCTACAAACTTTTCGTCAAACTCATCGGTATACCTCTTCGACATCGTCTCGGATCCTTGTGAGCTGACTAACTTGGCCGGGAGGCTTCCGAACGTAAGCGACTGTTATTCCCACATTCACGTGTTGAAAACACCAAACGAAAAAGTGGCAAAAAGAGAACTGCATCCAGGCTTTTTGCAGGATCTAAACGAAAGGTTTATAATACCTTCAGAATGAATGGTATTTCAACTGTCAATTCGGCAAGTTGGCGTGCTTTCCCCCTGTATGTAAAGAAAGATCGAAAAATCAATTTTTCTTCTCGTCCTCGTATTCTTGCACAGTTTTTTTGTCACTTCTCGTTCAAGATGTGAGATGAATAGCAATGTTTTCCGGTTTTTTGTGTTTATGTCCTTTTTGTGTGGTTCTTGCATGTAGTGAGGGGCTAGTGTGTTTAGAAAGTAACACTATCAAAGTTTAACTGAGCTTCGTGTGCGTGGAACCCAACTGTAGGCTTTGGACGGCCACAAAACCCCGGAAATGGTTCGCTGACAATTCACACATACTGTGGTAGTCTCGTCACATCAAGATAACATAATTAGCTAGCAAAAGAAGAAAAAAAAACAAGAGCACCTACTCGGCAATGATTTGCGATCGTTTTGACGATCGTCTTTTCGTGGAAGCCGACACTCAAAAAGATGAAAATGCGCTGCGCGATAACCTCGTTTTACCATAGGTTCAAGTTTTATCGGGCGCGCATGATGCAATCTATCCCCAAAAACATATTATGCTTACCCACTTATATCAGCGTACTGTTTTTTTTCCCTAACGTCGCTTCATTTGTGACCTAAGATAAAGTACAGCCGAACTGCCTCCGACGTAACGAGAGTTCGACGATTGAATGTGTCCTTCATCCTCCCAGTCTTTTAAGCAGGCAGGCGTTTAGCCTTGGCTGGGGGAGAACGAACTGAAAAAAAAAAACAGTGAAACATGAAATCTGGGGACAAAGTAAAGAAGAAAGTGGATTCCAATACTTGCATGAATTGGTGCAGAGCCGTGTATTACAGCCTACTCAGAGTGCAATAGCTGCAAAAACTACATCAGCGTGAGCAAACTACTTTTTTAAAAGCCATTGCGGAAATAATCAACAAAAACTGGGAGGACACTCGAGCTTCGCCTTCAAGAGCAGATCGTGATAGCGTAATTTAGACGTGTGTGCATCGCCTTCTGAAATGCTAGCTTGCTTCGGTACTTGGCGCATACCTTGACTGCACTGTAAGGAAGCTAATGACTGTGAACGTTGCATTGAGATCGTTTCGAAGTATATATAAATGTCTATTGCAAGCACAGTTGTTAAGTGCCGACTACGCCACGATTATACTTTTTTGTAACTCGGCAAATAAAACTACCACGTGCCCATAGGATCAAAAATTCTCGACTATTTTGTTTGCATCTTCCTCAATTTTTCGGTCACGGAGAAGATGGTTTTCGCAGACAACCAACGACGTCGACGGAGCAACTTCTGTGAAGTTAGCTCTTCAATGCTACAGCGTTAAAAGTGACACTCGGTGACTAACCGAAAAAATATAGCTTTCATCATTCTAACAGACCGCCACACCATCGAGTTCTATATATTAACAAAGAGCATTTCCTACGAAGCAGAGTAAGATTCTTTCATTCTATTTTTCCTATATCTCTTTAAAACAGGTGGTGAACTCGCTCAAGAAGCGTTTAGAGCAGATTGGTGCATCGGCCCTGCCTGTGCGGAATAATAAGACCATTGATCCTATGAGCTTTCCCGAAAACCACGGAGGAACGTGGGCGCCCTGGGTGCCGTCAGAGTGCCTAACATCGTGACGTTGGAGGACCTTTGGAGTGATCTAAAGTGCGATGTGTAAGCATTGAACCAAGACGCTGATCTCGCTTGGTACAAGCTTGTTGACAGTAATGTACCGCAGGAAAGAGAGATAATAAAGACATTTATTTACAGAATGCGGCTTCGCGCAGAAACCTGAGATGGAAGTTGATGATGCGTCTCTTGCTACATGAGAACTAGGGTGTGGCTCAATCGAGAGCATCTGATGACGCAGAGAAATTGTCGAAGAGTGGACCTGCATGCGCACGGTGGTGCTTTTTATTACAGCTTCGTGCGATGGGCAGCTGGTTCGACGGTGTTCGTTTGCTGTGAAGCAGAGTATAATGTAGGCAAGGCGCGCAACTTGTGACAGGTTCTTCGCTCACATTTGACAATCTGAACCCTTTGACGTGAGGCCATGAAGCAATATATGAAAATATAGGAGAGGGCACTCCCATAGGCCCCTGCAGTTGATTGGGGTTCGTAATGCTCCCAATGGTCGTTGGGAACCATCGCAGCCTCAGAGATGAGAAACCGCAGAAGACGATGTCTCGAAGGATATTTTTTTAAGCGATGAGGAATATTATACAGCTTCCGAGACCACTTTTGCACACGTGCTTGTCTCTTAGGTCATACTCTATTTTTTAACGCATCATTTGTATGTATCGACTCGCTTCGTGTAAGCTTCACCGCCAGAGCAGCAAGAATACGATGCCACTATGTGTATTGGCACGCATGTTAAATAAAACATGAGAACCGTTGCAGGAGCGAAAAGTTAAATTTTTTCAAGTGATATCCTTGGTAAGCGCATGCCCACTTTGTTAATGTTTTGATAAACGCTGGCATAAAGAGAGGTTTATTGCACTGCGAGACGCAAAAATACAGCTGCCCATACCATCATTATAAATTACAAACAAGAAATAAACATAGAGTCAACATTATAAGAAGACCCACAGAACAGTACAACTGCAATAAACACACACAGCTGCACATTCAGTGCACAACTCAACACGTCAGTACTTGCCATAGCACTTGGCTCCCCCAGAAACCGAACGAAAAAAAAAGAAAAATGTTAGCTACAATTTCTTTTTTGCTTTCGCACAATTTTTTTCTATGCACTTCATATCACTCTTCCGTTAACAACAGTCACGAGCAGTTGCCGCAGCAAAAACAAATCAATTTTGGTGCCATGAAAGCTGCTAACGAAGCAAAAGTGTTTACTCGAAGTTTACGCCCCAGTATCACCTCAAATATTCTCTAGAGTCACCACATCTCTCTTGTTGCACTCGTTATAGCTATAAGCGATTTGAGAACGCCACAGATAACGATACTATACGTATATGCTCTTTTCTTCAAATCTCACTCCTGCAGTGAATTCTATTACATGTACCCGCACAAAAAAACGTAATTACGCGCGCGGCGATTCGCTTTCTTGAGCCAAGAAAATGTTCTCGAAACTTGCAGTGCAGCGTTCCAAACAGTTGTATCTTTTTTTTTAGTGAAGCAATACACTAAAATAATACGCAAAGTGAAGAGCGAAACGTAGCTCTCTGCGTCGAACAGCTCAATGAGAGAAATGTTAGTTTAAGGCTTCAATGACGAATGCAATATGCACTTTATAAAGCAATGATGGCGTTCGCATCGAGCAGCAGCCAAGCTGAGAGGCAGATGAAGCAAACGAAGGTCACAACGCACGCTGGGCACCTTATCGCAAATCTTTATTGCGTCTCCCTGCTGCTATCCGCACTTCTTCATTGCCCTAATTTTAACACGGAGTGTGACAATGTTGCCTTCGCGTCAACGCCATATGCACTTCTCTCGCATCTGATTCATGCCAGATCATGCTCGACCATGTGCACGCGAGGTGATAAAGACAGATACGAAAGCCACAATCGCAGTCGCAAAGACACGTAGACGAATAATGCACTAGAAAATGTTCTGTAGTATATAACTAGTACGCGCAGTTTCTTAAAAGCGGTAATTTGTTGTTATCCTACGGCCGGCGTGAAGCTGCGTAGCGCCGCCGCTCGATGGTGAGAAGGCAGGTTAAGCTCCTATTTCTTTAAGTTCAACTTATTTTCGAGGTTCGCCGAATGGGCATTGCGTAAGCAAGGAATAAAAACGAGAGAGAAGAAATGCAGAGACGTTAACCAGTATTGCGTAACCAGTATGCCGTTCTCCACATGGGGTAGAGTTGGAGGAGATCGAAAGAAAAGTAAAGAGAAAGAAAAGGATGACAGTAAAGAAAAGGGTGACACACACGCAAGCACAACGTCAGACCGCAGAGTGGCACTTCTGTGCGGAATACACCATCGCAGTCTACAGCCGATCGTGCAATCCCGTTGTCCTTAGGAATACTAGCAATGCAGACTTTACTTGAGTTTTCGATAACTTTTCAGGGTGATTGATTGATTGATTTGTGGGGTTTAACGTCCCAAAACCACTATTTGATTATGAGAGATGCCGTAGTGGAGGGCTCCGGAAATTTTGGCCACCTGGGGTTCCTTGACGTGCACCCAAATCTGAGCACACGGGCCTACAACATTTCCGCCTCTATTGGAAATGCAGCCGCCACAACCGGGATTCAATCCCGCGACCGGCGGGTCAGCAGCCGAGTACCTTAGCCACTAGACCACCGTGGCGGAGCGTTCTTTTCAGGATGACGTTTTAGAGAGAAGAGTTTCAAATTATGTTGCATGGTCCCGACTGTAGAGCACACCCAAGGAGCAAGAAAGTGTTTTTGCAATTACACAGTGAATAATAAAGTTTATGGAAAAATCTATTACGCTATGTATTGACAGTGATGTCAAAATAACTACAAGCGAACAATATTTCTGAGGCAACTTACAGTAATGCTGAAAGGAAAAAGGAAAGACATTGTTAGTGATCTCAAAAGGAAGAATTAAGTGTGTGGAAGTTGTGATATATAAAAATATTACACAATGAAATCCTTAGTAAATACGTAGGAATGTGCCAGAATAAAAAAAAAATTGCCCGCAGCTTCCCTCGGGGGAACACTGAGGAGGATGCGGACCATATAATTGGTTAACGGGGTGTTAAAGTGCGACTTACTTGGGTCGATGGCTAAATTAGTTAACGTGGTTGTGAAATGGGGTGTTAAATTGCGACTTACTTGGGTCGATGGCTAAATTGGTTAACGTGGTTGTAGGAGGGGGTGTTAAATGAGTGAACACGTACACACGTATGCGAAAGGGCGGCGCTGGTCGAAGGGACGTCGATCATTGTGTTTGTGGATTCGTTGGAATTCATTTCACCGCGACCTTGGACGTCGACGCGCCGTACAAACCAACCGACGAGCGGCAACTGAGCGAGCGAGCGCCGACCTTGAGTATATATACAGCACGACGGCGCATGCACTGTCAGCTGTTGAATGTTCTCGAAGCGCGACGCCACATGCGCGTCCACTGGAGAATCAGGAGAATTGTAGATGTCGAACGCGGTGTGTAGAGGAGGAAGGGTGCACAGATGGTGGAGGAGTGAAGCGCGCGCGGTGTGTAGAGGAGGAAGGGATGCACAGATGGTGGAAGAGTGGGCGACGGCGCGACGGCGCATGCGCGCGCGTCAGCTGTCGAATGTTCGAGAAGCGGTGCGGACGGCGCGGACGGCGCGGACGGCGCACTACAAGGCGCGAGTATAAGATGCTCCGCATCTAAAATAAACATAAAAATCACAGCCCATCCACGGACTGAATGATGATGAATGGGGTGAAGCATCCGTCCGTCCGTTCGTGCATCTGTTCATCCGTCCAACCGTGGGTCGATCTGTTCGTCCATGCGTCTAGCGAACGCTCCAAGCACCACCATCTCGCATGTTTTCATCATATATTGAATTCATCATATATATTGAATTCATTATTATATTTTCATCATATATATTGGACGTTCGAAGAGCTAAACTCTCCCGTGGAACACACTTGAGAGAGATGCTTACTACAGAGGACGATCGGGTGACACCTTAAGAAGCCTCGCCCATAAGAAGCGTGTTTAGGCAATTGTGGGACCCGCCACGATGGCCTAATGGCTAAGGCACTCCATTGCTGACCCAAAGACCGCGGGATCGAATCTCGGCCCCGGCGGCCACATTTTCGATGGAGTTGATGTTGATAATGCCAGAGGCCCGTGGGCTCCAATTTAGGCGCACGTTAAAAAACCCAGGTGGTCGAAATTTCCGGGGCACCCCACTACGTCATCTTTCGTAATCATATGGTTGTTTTGGGTTGTTAAATCCCAACAGTTATTATTAATATTATTATTATATGATCGTGGAGGTTTCCCTCATCACATTTAGCAACCACGACGTCCTTCAACGAGTGGATGACACGTTGAAGGCCCGAAAAGTTAAAAGCGCCCGCTCACTGTAAGTTGGCTCACACAGCACATGCATGACCCAACCCAAATCATATGCCCCAACATTTTACCTTTCACGTGACCCTCACGCGTACCGGACTGATTGGTTCACACACTTTATGGACATGCGCGACGAGGTTTTAATCCGCGTATCCTGCACGCTAGCCCAGTACTCTACCACAGTGCCACGCCAGTGTCTGTCGCAAACTGGGCTCAAGCAGGCTTGATTTCGTGAAAAGAATAATATATCAAATCAAATCGCGTTCATTTGGGAACTAAAGCGTATTAAAAAATCACATGAGCCCCGTCGTGGTGGTCTTGTAGCTAAGGTACTCTGCTGCTGACCCGCTGGTCGCGGGGTCGAATCTTAGCTGCGGTGACTGCAATTTCGATGGAGGTGAAAATGCTGTAGGCCCATGTGCTCAGATTTCGTTGCACGTTAAAAATCCCCAGGTGGTAAAAATTTCCGGAGTCCTCCACTACGGTATTTCTCATAATCATATGGTGGCTTAGGGACGTTAAACCCGAGATAACCATCAATCACAGAAGATCACATGAACAACCAGGCTTCACACAAAAGCTAATTGCGCAAGAAGGGGGTTACAAATGCTCCGACCGATTACAAAAGCTTCAGTCAACATGCTTTGTTGTTGTCAGCCACAGAACAAAAAAAAAATAACACAAGAGTACTTGGCAATGTGTAGCAGGTAACACTCTTCTGCGAAGAAAGACGAGGATGGCATAGCTAATGTCTCCATAGTACACAAAAATTATGATAAGTTATGACGCA